CATTGCAATAATAGTAAAAAAGCAGTCCGGACAAAAGTTTAATAAATAAACATAATTATAGTGCCATAACTAAAACCAATTGAACTGGAAACTGCTAATTGTTTTATAGTTTTTCTGATAATTCCTGTTAAATTTTGATAAAATTGCCCTAATAGTTTTTTTGAGGTATAGTTTGGACAAGTTTTGTGACTGACGATGGTGATGTGATCTCTGTATGTCGCTGGTGACAAAAACATAGTTCTTACTGCGTTTATTACGCAAAAATAGGGCAAATATGCAATCAGTCATTTTTCCCACATAAAATGTATATTATCACTTGAATTTTAAATCGTTTTTACTTTGCTTTCAGTTCATTTTTCTCAAGTTTTGCTTTCTTGAAATTATATGACTAATCTGGAGGAATGCAGCTTTAGATAAATATTGAAAAATTTACAGTTGCTTACAAGAGTTTTTTTCAAACAACATCGATGTCATTTTTTGAGTGTGAAAGCTTTCAAGTACCGTCCATGAACAGGCTCAATCAAACCGAGCCTGCAACATTTTCAATTTTGCCGTGTTGGGCTTTCTTTAGGGATTCTGTTTTTATCTATTTCAATGAATATCAATTATTGGGAATTATAAATATTCATTTTTTTCACATCAATAAGAAGATTGACAGTTTTAGAATTATTTATAGAAATAGCTTTTACGAGGTTATTGACACGAAATGAGGGACGCTACTCTCTAAAGCGACACGTTCTTTGATATCATTATAGTAAAAGGATAGTTCACGTAGCATTATAGTAAAAGGATAATTTCTAGTACATGTAGTAAAATCCTTCTGTAAAACATGCATTGCCGAAACTTGTGATTTTGACAATAAAATATTCATAATGATAGTAAGATTTTAGAGTATCCAACTTGATCAATTTGGTGCAATCAAAAGAGGAAAGGGTTTGTCCTTTTGTTCAAGATAAATTGAATGTACGTTTAAATTTATACATGTTTATACGTAATACTTAATAGTTCATGTACTTTTCATTATATGACTTCATTTACCAGCTCATGCTAATAAGCTTTAATTCTAGAAGCTTTTTAAAGAATTGACATTCACATTTCATTGCTTTTTTGTTTGAAACAGCAGACATTTGCAAACGTTGCTATATAAAACCTTTTTGTCTTAACCCTAAATGCTAAATGTCAATCTTGTAATTTCAAGCGAATTATTAAAACTTAACCATTATGGATAAATGTAAATTACACTTAAACAAAGCGTTTCCTATAGATGTTATACAATAACATCTTTTCAATTAGACCACATGAATATCAACGACTGGTAATGGTAAAATTGCCTTATTCACCTTTGTGTCATCATTGGCAAAACACTTTATTACAAACAATGCTCAGCCTCTCTTACTGCAGCCAATGATACAGTAAGTACTACAGAATGCCAGGAATTGAATTTGCTCCATGTGTTGAAAACATTCTCGACGACATCAGAGTTGACAAGTCCCGGAGTGATAAATATAGTTTATTAAGCATGGTTCCGCAAAGTGCGATGCAATCAGTTCACATGATTGTATATCCTCTAAGCATTAATGAGATAATAGCTTTCTTTCCTTTTCTGTCTCTCTTTTTCTGGAATTTCCTTGCAATGCATACCTAAATTATCCCATTCTGAAAACAATTCAACAACAGAATGTTATCATTTAACACTATAAAAGGCTCGTGTCATTTCTTTTGATGTGGGTGATGATAAGAAACATATATTTGGAATTTGAAGTAGATACACTCAGAAATAAAGAAGTTATATAGCCCCCTTCCCCTTCCATAAAAAAGCAAAATAAACCCCCAAAGATTTCTTCATGAAAAAAAGTTTATGGAGTGATATTATTACATTTTGGAGCTAGAGTAAAGAAACTTGATGATGCGGTTGATAATCAGAAACATGTATTTCAAGTTTAAAGTAAATACCTTAAGAAGTAAAGACGTTAAAGTGAAAACGATTTCTCTGCGTAAAAACTTAAATTAGAGATCTGGACGCCGTGACTTCGTTGGTTGAGTTGGAAAGCTCTCAGTATACTCCCTATAGTCAAGAATAAAATCATCGGCATTATCTCCATACTGACATCTATCTACATTTCAAGTTTCATAAAAAAAATCATTACTTTTTAAGTTAACACATTTTTTTTTATTTTTCCTATATTTAAGTCTATTTGTTGACAATGCAACGAAATTTTCAACATAAGAAGAAAAGAAAAAAAGATGTGTATTATCTCCAGACCGCCATCTACCCATCTTTGAAATTTCATTGAAATATTTTGAGTTCTTTTGGCGTTATCACAGGATCCAGATTTTGTGCTATATTTGCTATCTTTAAGTTTAGTTGTTGTCATAGCAACCAAATGTTTCAACATAGGAAGAAATATAAAATACATGCTTAAACTCCAGACTGCCATCAACCCATATTTAAAAAAAAATACCAACAAGAATAAAGATCAACAAGGTAAAACCCATGTTCACAGGACGTAGCCTGCAAGTTCATAAAAGTATTTTCGGTACTCTTAAAGTTATCACGGGATCCAGATTTGTAAACGAGAAGCAGGCAGACGGATAGACGGGCGGACGGAAAGAAACCGGTAGGGGACTAAAAAATCAATAATTATTTGCTACAGGAAAGAATATTTTTTTTTTGATTAAGTCCACTTTAGAGAGTGTTTTTTTTGGATGTAAAAAGTCCATTAAAATATTGTGTCTACACCATACAGGTGTGATGAACTGAAGTTTCTGCTGCTCTTAATAGGTAGATTGCTTCCAGAAAATACAAAATAGCTCAGTAGTTTCCGTTTTCCATTTGCATTTTTATAACAACAGTGTTTGTTTTACATTAATGTATTTTGTTTTATAGAATTTTTATAATAAGGCAATTGATTGTATTGGAAGTACTAATCACGTACTCGAATATAAGAGGCCAAAGCAATGAGAAATTCTGTCGTAAATTTATAGGCATACACCAATAGATTTTGTAGACCATCTGCGCCCTTTTGGGTGTCTGCTAACATTTGTGGCTTGTTCAACTTTAAATTCAATCATATTTTCATCTGCTCCGGGAAAAAGATTCCATGATTGATTCAAGAACTAGGCTCGTTTTCTTTATTGTCGGACAGGAAAAACGTAATTTACTGACATGTTTGACTGACATGTTTTACACATTTATATATGCTATAAAGGGAAATTGCTTTTTGCTCACATAACAGACGTCACTGATCTGACGGTTTGCTCACAATTTCTTTCCGCAAGTTTAGGGTATTGTATTTGCTTAGAGTTATGTAACTTTATGGCCGTAACAAAGTTAAATCTTGTCGACTATAGTTCAACTAAACGGTTTAAAATTGAGAATCACTCAACTTGGTGCTAGGGGCATGGGGGTGTTGCCGTCTTACATTATCCCTCATGTACAGACTCAATCAAACCGAGTCTGTAATTTTCATACAATTTTAATGTGATTAATGTTTCCGAGGGATCACTCTTTCTTTAGATATTTAAGTGAGGCTCTAATTTTAATGTCATTGTCTATTGATGTCATTTAACTGTATTTTGATACATAGCTTTACATGGTTAACATAAGAATGACTTTGACTACTGAACTAGTGTATTGATAATAAAATAGATCTTTGTACATTTACACAAATTAAAAAAGAATTTTATATCATATATCTTTCACGAAATATTTATGTTTAAAGTATTGCTTCGAAACTTTTAAAACGCTTAATATTGTTTAATTACATTAAAAATGTCTAGCCTGAAACCATATAGAAGGTTTCTGCGTATTAATGCCGACAAACCTTATCGATCACGTGCAACATACAATAAAGTAAAGCCTGCAAGCTGGCTCTGTCTGCGATACTAATTGACGATATTGGATTAAGGTGGCAGATTATGCCTTGATTTATAAGGGAGAAATAATGAGATATCTTGTAGCATACACATTTATCTTGGTATGTTTAGTCCTAACATTTATATACTCATTTGTTGAAAACAGTTACTAGCCTCCTCTAAGCCTCCGCTATCTCTATGCAAGCTGGTAATTATGTTATACAAAATATATCAATTAGAAAGCACGTTTCATGAAAATCATTTAGCTACAAAAATAGATACAAAATAAGATTGTGTCATAACAAAATAAGATAACAAGAATGGAAACAGCCAACTAAGATTGCTTAAACAATATATACAATGGAAAATATATTGATGAAGAGGTACTGAAATATTTAAACATATTTCAATTGTGTAAATAATTTAAATGTTCAATACAACAATGTTCTTAATAACTTTAAAATGATAGATATTTCTTCCGTTCCGTTATAGATAGTATTGACAATGTCAATATTTTTTTACATATATTTTAAGATCTGTTGTAAATGTTTATGTGATAATTTCAAAAATTGTAATGCATAAAAATGCATTTAGATACAAGCTGCGCTGTGTTTTTACTTTCACCAATATAATGCACTTAAACAGGTGCCATGGCCCCATCGACTTTGACATTTGATCTTCATATATGAAAACACATATCAACAAGGAAGGGTGGCATGGCATTCAATAAACTCACAACAACTAACAAATGACCACCAAAAAGGAGTCCAGCAGGACACCAAACAAAAGCCGGAGAAAACAACAGAATGAACAAATGAATTAAATGTATAATGTCTGCGTTTGACTATATGATATACTTGTAATAATGATAATTTTATAAATATTTTTAATTAAACTCAGGGTTCCTTGCCTCACACAAAATTTGGAGTACACAATTCCCGCTGTTCTGAAGGCAAATAACATTTTAAAATATTTCCTGAAAAATCCATTTCATCCCTTAAGACGCAAAAAAACACAATATTTTTTATTTAAAGAAAAACAAACATCAGTTCATGGATACAAGTTAACTTTAAGTTCACAATTTATGTCAATTGAATTTATAACTCTAGTTTGCATTAAGATATCTTTCAAACTATATCGAAAACTGTTTACGCAATACTCGACATCAAGATATCAATTATCGTTCATGATAACATTGTAATGCTATCTTGCATTTATGTTAATATTTTCCCTGTAAATTGTTTCACATAGCGGTACCTTTACATTTATGAGATAAGATTCCGTACCTTAAACGGAAAAACGTAAAAACAATCGAATAAATAAATATTTGTCGTCTGGTAAAATATTTAAAACATCAACAACAACAATAAAAAACACAAACACACACACGCACGCACGCACGCACCATCACACACACACACACGCGCGCACACACACACACACACACACACACACACACACACACACACACACACACACCAAAACAAAATTGAATTTTGATTTATGTTTCAAAATTGATCATAATTTTGTATGTTTGACATAAAGTTTCACCCAAGTAACAATTGGACAGTTTTTCAATCAAACTTATTATTTGAATACATATGTAACAGTAGTAAACAAAATTTATTATTTGAATACATATGTAACAGTAGTAAACAAAACTTATTATCAGAAGAAAAAAGGCAATTGGCAAGTGAAGAAATTCATGTTCTTAAACTTTAAAAAAGTACAAATGAAACAAAATTTCTAACCGGCTTCGACTATCAGTTCAGTTCAAGATATTTTCAAAATCAGTTTTTTTCCCTACATATAGTTTAGTTTATATCTGTCTAGATCGGTTTCATTCAAAATGCATACATGTTTCTCCATATGAAATTGTATTGCATTTCGATATCACGCTTTATACGTCTAAACATTTCATTTGTGTATTTAAATTCAAACTCCACTTCATCGCTAAAGTATTCAATGTCTTCACTATTGTCCGGAAATGTGTCTTCATTTGGAACATTTTCTTCATCTATCGTTTCTACAAGGGATTTAAATCCAGGTAGAATTTCTCCAAATGCTGGAACACGAAGCTTATAGTCACTTATGAAAAACATTCGTAGAGTACCGAGTTTGATTGAAGTGTACAGTCTAACGGTAAGATATTTGTACAATACTGACAGGGACATCCGGTTGTAGCGTTTCCGAGTTAGCAAACCTAAAGTCACCAATGCAGTAGTTTTTATCATGTACGATGTCACGAGCTGTTGCTCATCGTCGACAGCTGTATACAACCTGGCGAACTGGATTATGTCTGCCAAATCTGCCATGTCTGATGCTTCAGGTATCTTTGTGACGTGCTCATCTCTTTTATATTTTAAGCATCGTATAGCAATCTTCAATTTCGAATCGTAGCCAAAGCTTTCCATCAATACATGTTCGGTGTATGATGTTGAAACCCGCCATTGACATGTGTGACCTTTGTCCGATATGTACGGTGTTAAATGAAACCCATCTTTGTCTAGTGTATTTCTTAAGGTGTTTGCGATAATACTACCGTCAGTTATCCATTCGAATGTGTCTATACATGAGCGCCAGTTGTCTACTTTCATACAGATAGTTATATCTACACTTATTGTTAGATTTTTTAATGACCTTCCATTCCATATAAATTCTAAGGTAACTGCAGGACCGTGTATAAAGGTTGGTGTTGTTCCTTTTTGTAAGTATTTTGGTAGATCTTCTTGTGAGAGTGTTTCAAAAATAGCTAGAACATTGTCATAAAATGTGTTCTTTACTGATATGCAGTCAATTAGATATTCGGGCTCTTTCTTTTTCCCAATTTCCTTCATCCAATTTTCACCTCCTTGACTATCAGAGCAATGTAGATGATTTCCAACATATTGAATTTTTCTTCTTCCGGGTTGACCTTCTGAACATTTCCATAAATTCTTCGTTCCATTAAACCCCGTCGATCTAACGATGAAGTCTTTTCCTTCTTTCATGTCAACCATTTCTGCCAGAAAATCAAACTCGTCTGGAAAACCTATCTTAAGACCGTCATAATAGCTTCCTACCTTTAACAAGTTAAAAGACAGTCGCGTGTCTCTGAGTTTCACCCTATCCAAAATGGTTAGCATCGTTCTTTCTATTGAGCGTTGAATGCGAAGTACTTCATTGTCTTTGCTAACTCTTATTCTCCTGTCGGTATCGTAAAGTTTTTGTGATAGTTTATCCATTATAGTTGTTGTATTACCAATGGTTTACTCACTAAAAAAGGAAAGAAAATATGTGTTATTCAACACAATGCGATTTTGTTTTGACTTTTGAATTCAGATTAATATATTATGAATTGAAGTAATTGAATTGTAACCGTTTTAAAAAAGCACGAAACATATCGATTACTCTTCTCTTTTTCAAAACATTGAAAAACAGTTTAAACATTTTCTTTCTCTTGTTGTGTATGTTCTTTTTGCAAACATGTTATTAATCAATACTTGTGACCTATATGAACATTATTAGTTTTATAATTAAACATTAATGAACAGTATTTTGAAATAAAATTGATACCTCTTTTCTATTACACGTCTTTGTTATCCAAAATATTTACATTATCAAATAAGTTATCAATTTACTTATCAATAACTTTGCTCCGACTTGAAAAATCAATACTTAAAGTGTGAGGTTTATCTATTTATATCCGAACCAATGTCAGTGTATTGAATTTAGAAAGGTTGCACAACCGGTGTTAAGGTTTAAATTATCCATAACCAATATCAAATACTAATATTAAAACTCTAAAGAGTTGAAATAGGGGACGTACGTCTTGTTTACTTTCACTTTCGATTTTCCACTTCCGGGTACATCGGCAGTCATATTTACCGTCACGCATATAGGTAACCCTGAAGACTTCGAGAGATAAAGAAATGAATTTTGTTTCGGTTCTCCTAACATATGAAGGAATCGAAAGCACGGGTCGAAAAATGCAGGTAGGTAAATAATCTATCGAAAAAGCGAGGAATTTAAAATAAAACTATTTTGTTTTCGGATAGTGACAGATGTTTCGGATGTTTCGTCAAGGAAGTGAATGGTATTTGTTAAGCTTTTAGAATTAAATAGAAACTACTGATGTGAGGAACTTGTTAAAACCATATTTATTTATTGAATAAACTATGAAGGAACACTTTCATTTAAGTGTATATTAAAGTTTTACCAAATTCGGACAAAGTCCAGATATTTCTTATATCGTTATAAACTTAGGTCCCAAGTCAGGGTTTACTCATGAAATAGATAAATAGATTTATGCAAAGTTTAATAGTATTGTTCCATTACTTATTATGGAGAAAAATATCTGTGTAAACTAGTCAGACAGATATACTCTTCCTTTTTCAAATATATTTATATATAATTATGGTACCTAGGAATTAATGATTGAGGTAAAACATATAATATCTGAATTAACCATTTCAGATGTTTAGACAGGGTTGTGTATGGCAAATATAGAATATACAGCAGTTTACATTGACCATTAATCCACTGTTTACAATGCCTATGTTCCTGAAATATCTATCCATCGAAGGTAAATACATGTAAAATTATCAATTACTTTTTAGTTGAGATTGGAAATATTAACATTATTTTTAGATATTTAAGTTACTTTTTAATTACACTGCATGGAAATGTTAAAGGGTATCACACATGAAAACAGTCATGTTTCACATCGTAAACTTAAACAAAACAAATACTTTTTTTTTTGGCAGATATATATTTTGTGTTGTTGTTCATCTTTAATGTTTGTTTATATCAAATATAAAATTTTCTTTCAATCATAACCAGCTAATTTTAAAACTCATGTGAATATTATTTCTAGTGTTTTACTTAGTGAAAAATATTTAGGTCTTACACCTATTGCAACATATCTTTTTACTTTTTTCTACAGCTAAAAAGGAAGAAGATCAGAGGAAAATTTGTGCATGAAGAATTTTATTGCAGCTACCATCTTCCAATTCCTTAACCTGAGAAAAATACCAGAAACACACAATTTTAGTGACATAATATTTTTGTATGAATGACATGCAACACAAAAATCGTTGTGTAAAAGCGTAGTACAATAACATGACACTTTGATACTTTGATACTATAATCTAGTAAACTTGTTAATGTCACAATAAATCGTCCGAATTTTGTTGCATTTTTAAGTATTGAAAAACTCTATAAACACCAAAGTAGAAAACACACTAGATATAAAGATTTTCATAGTACCACAGTAATGTCATTTGTTATAATGGACAAATGACTATGATGTACATGATGTATATAAAAAAGTAGCATAATATGATATATCATCTTTTGTTCAGACAATTTTGAACAATTGAAATACCTGTATTAAAAGATTAGTTCAAAATGTAATTTAAGAAATATCATTAAATATATCACTGGGTGATTTAAAAAGTTGTCTTATTTATCTCCCATGCTAAATATTCTGTGTATTATATTGAAAATGGTAAAAAGAAAGAAGGATAATTGCCACAAAAGGAGATAGGGCACAAAATGGAGCAAAGACTTGCTCGTGTTAGAATCTCCAAACAATTGTTGAAACAGTTCCCTAAATACAACAATCGACACTTTGCGTATACCATCATGGCGATGAGATGCTGGTTTACTTTTATGAGCCCAAGCGAAAGAAACATAACCAAATATGGGCAACCAAAGGAAGTCAAAGATCTTGCATAGCAAAACACAAAATTAACGTCAAAAAGGTCATGTATGTAATTTTCTTTACCAGTCAAGGTCCTGTTATTCAAATTGCCGTACCAAAGGTTAAATCTGTAAATGCCAAGTTTTACAAAGGCAAGGTCCTTCATAAATTGAAGAAATATTTCAAAAAACCGTCGACTAGCAACTGGTCTGCATGGTGTCAGGTTCTTGCATGACAATGCTCCGTCACACAAAGCGGCCATTGTACGAGAATATCTGAAACAGGAACAGGTTGTTGAGCCAGACCTTGCCAATTCCCTGTGACTTTTTCCTATTTCCGAGGCTAAAAAATAAAAACTTGCTTGAAAAAAATATCAAACGCGAAAAAATCTTGGTTCTGCTATTTTCCAGTGTCTGAACAGTATACCTCAAAGATTATGAAAACGCATTTAAAAAAATCGGATTAAAAGACTAAAACTTTGTGTGTCACATGGTAGTGAGAACATCGAAGGATTTAGATAATTAATTTGGCACTGTTTGTTAAGCACTTCTGAAAATTGACCCTGTTGAATTGATATTTTAACACGCCTCCTAATGCGCTTTTAACCTTTTTTTTTATTTCAATTTGTGAAGACGTTTAAAAAAATGTCTCACCTATCAATTTACTTAACTGACTGCCTTACACAGGTTTAGCCGTATGATTCCTGTTTAAACGGCGTCTATCAGAAATAGCATCCCCTATACAGTAATTATACAGTATTAGGCAATGTATTAGAAATAGATAAAAAAGTCTATCTGAATGGAGTATTAATAATTGTTGTGTGCCAAGTTATAAACCAGTTCGAAATTAATTTCTTTGAAATTGTATTGTACTTATATATTTACAAACCTTTCTTTATATTCATTGTTTTAAATGAGCTATTATTTCTTCTTAAAACTTTTTTTAAATTAAAAGTTATAATTTTTAGAAATTATAAAGGCATACTAAAAAGTTAACCATGCCAAAATATGATAATATAATATTTTCACCTGCATAAAACATATCTACAAAATATAACTATACTAAACACAACTCAAGATGTTTACTGTACATGCAGTTTTTGGGGAGGCATAGCCTCCCCAATGTTAAAGCCGTTCATCAAATCTTACCGCAGCGGTTATCAGGTAAAAAAAATAACACCGTGATATTTCAAAGCTGACTCATCACTTATCACCGTTATTTAATATTTACTGTACATATGGATTTTGTTTACTGTATATGATATATTTTAGTGCACTGGATAGTTATTACCCTAAAGTATCTCCATTCAACACATATCCAAGTTATGATTACCCTAAAAAAATTTGATTTCAGTGGAATTAATGAAAAAGTGCATATCTAAATATCTTGTATTATATTTTCTGTAATATAAGCTCAGAGTGCAAAGCAAAAACACCTCTATACATGGTGTTTTTTCAGACTTCATTTGCCTTCTCTTTTTATATTTTCAAGTATAATTACACCAAAATTATAGTGATAAATGAGAAAAAAAATTTTGAGTTAACTTTAATTTCACGGTAAGAAAGAAAGACGTCAGGTATCAGAAAATCAAAATTTGCGAGCGGAAGATGAAAAAGAAGTTTGAGAAAAATAGTACATATACTTATATAATTATATTATCACTAGATTTGATTTTTCGAAAATCTGTCACTCATCTGGAGGTTTGCATTTTAAAGGTTCTAACTACATTAATAGGTATAAAGCTATATTTAATGAAATATTTTTCTTTTGAATTTTCTTGTGTGATGTTTCAGAATATCATGGGGTAATTTGAATAAATGTACAAAACATATTTCTTTCAAAAAAGTATTTTGTAAATATTTTACTTTTCATGATTTCAAACGTTCAGCACGACATTATTGTTGTGCTTGTGGTATTATATAGTTCTTTCTATTCGGCTATTTTCTTGTTGTGTGGTTCCAGTATTCCTCACTTGAGTACTGTTGAATCACCCTTGGGATATGTGGCCTGCTTTTTAAATTTGTCTTTTGACGTCTTATCTGTGATATGCAGGCTTCATAACCTCTAATCCCCTTTCAAAATTCCATTTTGCATGACACGACCTTTTCAAATTACACATTTGCGCAAAGTTATTGTCGTTCCAGGACGGCGGCATATACAATTAACAAGATTCAAATAATTTTCCCCGAACTCCGCCTGCTCTAGGCCAATCAAAACAGATAATTTAATATGAAATGATAACAAAATAGACGAAAAAAGTCCTAACACAGGGGCCTCAACCACCATGTTCTTGTCCGGTTACATATAAGCAAATGAAATACTATCCTCATGCACGAAGCTCGGCACTAGTATGTAGAGGCTTCTATGGGATAAACACCATATGGAATATTTCTCTTACAAGAAGAAACTTTAACTCTATTATTCAGGAAAGTAGTCTATTTCATGAAAATACATATTTTTCAAATGCTAGCCTGGATGGCGATTCCTATATTACTTTTGGAAATACTAAGACTTTTTTTAAATATCAGGTCGTGCATGAAAAATTGTTGACCGGGTTCCAAACTTATGAACTTTTACAAAATTGCCTTTCTTGATAGACATGACCCTGATCTTTGGACTGTTGAATTGGCTCTCAAGCATTACACGTCCCATTACATGTTCTTGCGCAATTGACATTGACATAAGAAATAACCAAAAAATTTTCATGGTATCCATGTTTGAAGAATAAGTAATAATATAACGTATATCATTTCCCAATCCGTTATAGGCCGTATATTTATGCTCAACTTTTTCAAAATTCATCTCTAAATGACAGAATACTAAAATGCACATCTTTATTCAAGCACTTTCAAGTCTAACTCGAGGAGTTGAGCTTCACACCTGGGTCTTTCTTATGACATTGTATCAATGTGCCACACATTAATGCAATTCATTTCAAAATCTATCCAAAAATGACAGATATGGACGGGAGTAAAAACGGACTGACAGGGACAAGCTCTTACTGGGAGATTTGTGAAGATGTCTGTTATCTTCATGTTTCTTACTCCAAAAGCAGCCGTTTGCGTCCCATAATCAATGATCGGGGGTATACAAATAATATTACCAGAACAACAATACTTAAGTATAAGGATCACACAATTATAAGTTGTAAATTTATTAAAATATTATATGCTCAATATATAGTAATTTCAGTGATGCATCACCTGTGACTGAAATGTTGCCTTTAAGGGTTTAGGCATCAGAATTGCAACCACCGTGTATCCATGCGTGAGAGGCGACTAAATAGGCTTGAATGAATGGCGTTTATGTATATATTAGATGGTTTTGACCATTGGTGTTACTTTAAGTTTGTAACATCTGAGGTTAGCCAAAAACCATCCTTTTTGTTTCTGCACAATATGACCTAAATTGTGTTGGTGCTTCGTTAAACTTAAAACAAAGCAAAAAGAATCAGTCATGAAACAGTGCAACTTCTTATACTTACACCTATGACATATACAAACACAATAAGTCTATAAGAAACAACTAACCAAGAAATGGAACTTGAAGATGACTTAAATGATATAGTCGCTTCAATTGATATTGATAAACATGAGATATTACAGTTTGATATTGACCATAAATTCTACAGTGACAAATACAAACACAAGAATTTCATTTGAAGCTACTAGCCAAGAAAAAGAACTTGAAATATGATAAACAAGATCAACAAGGAAAGGCAGCGTTCAACGAACATGACTTCAATGATAAACTCGCTTCAATTGATAGTGATGAACAAGAGAGGTATTACAGTTAAATATTCACCTAAAATCAACTAAGGACTATGCTCGAAGAAATTGCTTGAAAAAAATGGAATATCTCAGCCAAAATGTAATCTGATAATTCGCAACTTAACCCCGAAAACCAAACACTAGTGTCTTTTGTTTTATATTTAGTTACAGAAAACGTGCAGGTTTGCATAATGCAAGAAAATGGAAAAAACATATTCAAAAGAAGGAACTGAAAATAACTGTCCAGAATGTGAATGATTAACTTAACAAAAATAAATGATAAGTTATCGAAAAGTTAACAAGGCAATTTCAGAAGATAAACACAATTTTGACAACATATTTCATAATAGAAACAATTATTAACAATCTGTAAACTGAAATGGAGATTTTCAATCTCTTCATTTTTACATGGCATATAAACATGTAAATACATAAAGTGACATGTTTGTACGATTGACAGGGTTTTTAGGTCACACCGACACAGTTTAGGTCATTTGGCGACGTTCAAGCTTTACTGGTTGAGGAAGAACTCAGGGACCCTTCCGTGCACGAACGGGGGCCTGAGTATAACCACCGAGGTTCCGTCAGCTTGCTGGATAGCTTCCTCACACAGAAGAAACCGATGTCCCTGTTGGGATTTGAACCCACAGCGGTGATGGGCAAGTGGTTTGAAGTCGACGACCTTTATTAAGAATGGCAAATGTAAATGTAACGTATAAAGTACTTATATTGTCATACTTTCCACAAAGAACTTAATCTAACCAATTTACAAAAAAAATGTTTTCTTCAAAATTATTACGGCTGTTCAAAATTACTGCTAAAATTCAAAAGCTTTGGAACTCGAATAAGCATTGAAATACTTTCACAATATCGTCTAATCACACGGCGTCTTTCAACCAGAGCAGAGTATGTATCACGTGACAGGAACATGTAACCACACGGAAGAGAAATACAAAAAAAAAACTGTTATAATATAATTATCG